CCCCAAGTCCCCATGGACCCAGCTCAGAACACCTGGGGGCAGCTTGCTGGCCTCTGGCTTACTGGGCCATCCTTCCCCAGTACCTCTTCCCTTCCAGGGGACTGGGGCTGGCTCAGGTGACTCAGGGCTGGACCAGAACATCCATCCCAGCAACAGAACATGAGGCTCCTCCTCACAGGCGCCCCTCTGTGGTAGGAGCCTCCCTGCCCTCAGCTTTAGCACCCCCTGGTGGAGGACACAGGTAGGGACAGCTCTGCCAGTGCGGCCCCTCACAGCCTGCCTGCCTTGCTGGGCCCGGGAAGGTAGACTTTCCCCCTTCACAGTCACAGTGCCCTGGTCCTCACTCTCCCCCCCCCTCCGCCACTACACCCCAAACCCGCATCCCTTCGCCCAGCCAGCAGGATGGGCCCTTGGTCCAGCCCTGTGACACTGTGGCCTGGGGTCCGTCTGGGGGGACACTCTGGCGAGGCCTCTGCTCCAGCGATCTCTGCGCTGCCTGGGTGGCATCCAGCACAGCTTTAGTCACTCCGCAGTGCGCCCTGAGAGATGGCATCTCCTCTGGGAAGATGCCCCGGGGAGGGCGAGGACAGCTTCTTGGCCACCGCTGAGCCCTGGCACCCGCTGGCCCGCCGTCGGTGCTCAGGAAATACTTAGTGAATGGATGACCCGAAGATTTTTGTGTCTCTTGTGGGAATAAGGGGCAGGGAGGGGATGTGGTCTGCGGACCCCAGTGGTGGAACTGGGGAGCAATGGTGGACTCAGGTCCTGTGGGCCGTCTGGGGCGTGTGGGCTCGGTTCTGCTGGCACAGTCCGCCCTGGAAGGGTTTGGGCCTGTGTGCGGTGCCTGTCAGCAGTCCCGTGCTTCAGGACTGCTCAGGTGTCACCTCCTGGATGTCTTGCTCCCGGAGGCCAGGCCTCGGAGCGGTATGCCTGGTGGCCCCCAGATCCTGGCACGAGGCCGCACCTGTGTGTGGTGGGAAAGGTTTTTGATAAAGAACCAGGGGGCACAACCCAAATTTGGGGACTTCTTCTGTCACCAAGAATTTGCACCAAACTTCATTCCAAAGCTGGCCCCTCCCTGCCTACAGCCCTCACAGTTCCCACTGAGGTTCTAGATGAGCCAGAGCCTCAACCCTTTGGAGTCGCCCTTTCTTCCTGGCTTTGAAGTTCAGCTCCAAACTCACCTCTTCAAAGACATGCTCACCCCAGTACCCCTGCACGTTGCCCGCTGACCCCGTGGCTCCGGCTCACCCGCCACGGTCCCCGGGCTTTGGGGTGTCCACAGGGCGGCAGGGCTGGGCTTGACTCCAGTTCCCACACTTGCAGCTGTGGGACCTGGAGCAGGTGCGTGCAAGTCTCTGAGCTTCCTTGTCAGTAAAATGGGAGCCCGTCGCCCACCTGAGGAAGTCATGAGACTGCGGATTGACGAGGCCGCAGGCACCATGCGCAGAGCACCCTCCCGTGCTTCAGGACTGCTCAGATGTCACCTCCTCTGAGAGTCCTCCCTGACTCCATCCCAGGCCACGCCCCGCCTGCCTTACCCGGTCTTATCTCCCTTCAAGCCCTTGTTCACTTCTCACTTCACTAGTTTATCATCTACCATCTACTAGAAGGTCAGGTCAGCAAGGGTAGGGGTTTTATCTACTACGTCCAGTGCTGAAACCAAACATGGCATCTAGTGAATGGCAGGTACGTAGTAGGGGCTTTATAAATGGAAGCTACTCTTATTACTGTATTTAGGTTGGCTGAACTCACCTTGGTGTCTGGAGCAGTCCCAGATCCAATGACCTGCCAAACAGCAGGAACAGGGTCACTCGGTTGGCCTGCTCCACCCCTTCCATGTAAACACTCAACACCAGGACACACGGATCATCCTCAGGAAGCCACAACCCTTGCCAGGGTCAAAGAATCCCAGACAAGACTCGCAGGACTACCTGCCCTGGCAGAGGCTTGGGCTCCGTTTCCAGGTCTGCCTTGAATTTGCTTTGTGACTATAGGTAAGACACTGTCTCTCTGGGTACTTCAGTTTTCTATTTTACATATTTAACAAATATTGAAAGAGTGCTAATTACTCACCCAAAATTGCCCTAAGAGCTTTATGTACATGTAACTCATTTAAACCTCTTAAGAAGTGAGATGAGTTAATAATGTCCCCTATTTTACATATGGCAAACATGAGGCACAGAGAGGTAAAGTGACTTGCCCAGGGTCACACAGCTGGTAAAAGGCACAACCAGGGCTCGAGCCCGGACAGTCTGCCTGCAGAGTCAGTGCTGGTAACCACTGTGCTCAGCTGCACTGGAGAGTGCTGGTGAAGGGCCAGCTGGGGCCTTTCAGGAATCTGAATTTACTTTGGATGCTGCCTGACACTCATTTTCCTAAAGCTTCCCCTTGGCCTCCCTAAGCAGGAATCTCCCTGCCTGCCCTTCTCCAAATCCAATAACTGCATGCCCCCTACTTCCAGAAGGAACCAGCCTGTGGCGGGGATGGGGAGTCCTAAAGCACAGTGTGTGTCGGTTTCCCCGGCCAAGTTCAAGCCACCAACCTGATGTCACTGAAAATGGAGTTGAGAAGAAAATCAGCTCTCAAGAGCCACAGCGAAGGGGCTGCCGCACACCTGCCAGCCAGGCAAAGGTGTTGCGACAGGGCTGAGTAAGGGATTACTCAGGTCCGAACCACCAGCTGGTCCTCCGGCCTGGGGACGGAGCTCCTCCAACCTCACTCCTCCCACTTCCTGAGGCCGCCCTTCCTTACCCGGGGGGAAGCTGGCTTCGGGCACCTGGAGCAGCTGGGAGCGGTACAGCTCAGCGGTGACAGGCCCCGCAGCCCTGACGACTCTTCCTGGTCAGAGCAGTTTTTCCTCCGACGCTCCCGCCCAGCAGCTCCTGGCTGCCTCCAGGATGAAGCTCCAGCTTCTCCACCTGGCCTGTCGCCTGTCGGACGGGGCTTGCCCCATAGGGACCCTGCCTTTCTTGCCAATCGGATCCCCCCGGGGCGTCTGTCGGGCGTCAGTGCACAAGCGACCTCCATTCTAGCCATGTCACAACCCTGCCTTACTCACCCGTCACCACACCTGTGCTTGAGCTGTCGCCTGTCTGGAATGCCATTCCTCTGCTTTGCCAAGGACGGGAGGACCCTCCCCTGACTCCCGTAGGATTTAGGGCACAGCAGGTCCTTGGACCTGAATTGCCAGTTACCTTTCAAACAAAACTAAACTGTCAGTCCCTTGAGGGCATGCGTGTGTCATTTCCCTCTGTCCTCTGTCCTACTTAGCAAAGTGCTGCAAAGCCTGAATCCACTCAACTGATTTTGCTGGGCGCCTGTCAAAGCACTGAGGCGGCGTGGACAAACGTCACAGTCCCTGGCCCCATACCTAGTGAGGGAGGGGAGCAAAAAAAGGGACCAGCACACTGTCCCCTGCAGGTGGGAGTGCCAATGGGGCCAGGCCTTGGAACCGTTTGTTATCGAAATGGTGAAAATGAGCACCTCGTTCATCCTGGTCGTTCCAGGCCACCCGGTCAGTCTACGCAACACAGACAAGGGCACCC